TCCTGATTGACTTTGGGGAGTGCAATGTATCCTACCTTAAAGTTCTTTAAAACTTCCTGTGTATTTTTGGGTTGTGAGTAAGGCTTGGGTGTCAGCACAGGCACAGCCTTGGAGACAACGCTTTTGCTGGGAGATGTGCAGCCTGTTGAACTGCTGGGCTCTAGTTCAGCGGTGGGAACAATAGTTGCTTCAATGGTGGCAGTGAATTTTGGAGCAGGCAGCGACTGTTGCCTTAAATATCTCAGAGGATTTGGGTCTTTCAGTGGGGAATTTGGCTCCACTGAATGGCTTCTTTCCAGAATTTTTGGCATCTGCAAACGCTCAAGGACAGCTTCACTGATAGTGAATCTTTCGATGTACTGCTGGAGTATGCTCTCAGCCTCCTCCTGTGACTTTGCATTCTTGTATGCCTCATGAAGCTCCCGCTCTCTTCTCTCTCTGCAAGGGAGGCGACACAAGAGAGACCACTGCATTAAGATTAACGCTGGAAATCACTCCTATTTCCTCTGCTCCATCAACATCATTCCCTCTCCTTCACCCCAGGCCTGCAGGCATAGCTGCCCACAGTTACCTATCACCTATGGAGCACACAGCATTTTCAGACACGCCACTGCACTTCAGTAAAACAACGTACTTCTCTTCCACAATTTCTCGGTAGGTTTTGATGCTTTTTCTGCGCTCATTAGTTCCATCTCCAGACAATAACCTTTCCATTTTCTTTCTCTCAGCTTCTTTTTTTATTAAATCCTGTGAAGCGCTCCTTCGACGACTCTTCCACCGAGCCAGGTCCTGCGAGAGAAGGAAGGCACCTGAATGCAGAGTTGCAAATAGCTAAAAACTGGCCACAGAAACCAATGAACCCAGTCAGCCACTTTGCAGTGCTTGTTCCTGGCTGTGGACCAGGCTCCCATCACCTGCAGGCAGTGATGTTTAGTTTGAAGAGAAAAGGAGATTATGCCATAAAATGAAGATGCAGCCTGACTGACTTTTCTCCTAACGGCAGGGTCCAGTAAGGATTTCATAGCTCCACTGGTGTATTTTCTTTTTGGCTTTGTAGTGCTGCAGAAGCATGCTAGGTAATAACACCAGGAAATTTGGCCTAAAAGGACCAGTCAGGGCACTCATTTTCACTTGGGCCAACATTAGGGACAAAACCTGATTCCCCAGGAAGATGAAGCAGAAAAATTATGTTTGGTGAAGAATTTTAATAATCAGATGTGTGGGAGGCAGGAGTTCATTGGACGAAGGGATGTTGTTTCACCATTAACTACAGCTGCACTGATAGTGTGCCTTGGAGAGCTGATAGTCCCATACTTTGCCCATGCTATCAGCCAACTACATGCAAGCGTGGTTGACCCATGGGTTGGTTTGGATTTTTTTGACAGAAAAATCCAGTGCAGCATCCAAACTTAAATTCTTCCTCACGGGCACCCTCCAATATTTTGGACCCAGATCTGAGCAACACAGGTTAGGGACTAAAGTGGATCACACCTGGTTGGTGTGAGACATGACAGAGCAAAAAGTCTATGGTTTGTATCCAGCTATATAGATATGTCCTTGTTGAAGTAATGATCTTATTCTTTTTGGAATCTGTCTGCCCAAAATTGTCCAGAAGATCCACTGATTCTGGTTCTTTACCTTTCTTGCAAAAGCAGCCTGACGCTAAAACAGAGAGCCACAGAAGATACCTGTTACAGGCACCTATGTCTTGCATCCTGCTTGGGTTATGAATTCACAAGTCCTGGAGGGTACAGAAACACTATCTTTCTCACAGTAAAAGTACTGCAGTAAAGAATTTTCCTAAGCTGTAAAACTTCTTTGCAGCCGACTAGTAAAGGAGCAAAATTTTACGTATAAAAAATAACCTCTGAAGACCTTCTGCAAAGAAAAATAACTTCCTAGGAAACTGTAGGGGCACATTTGTCATTAACTTTACAACATCAGGAGATTAATATACAGATTATATTTCATGCACTCTACGAATTCTGGTTTTAATAAAAAACTCAGTTTATTTAATAAAATACTCAGTTCAAAGGCTATTTCATTAATTACATGGTTTTCCAAATATTTTAATTGCATTTTTATTGGTAAACAGCAGAAGGTACTGCAAGCATAACTTATTTTATTAAAACCAGGAACAAACCTTGTCACTTTTAATTTAGCTTAAAACCACAAATTATTGACGTTACACTCAAGGGAATGCTTGTTAAAGTATTTCTTCACATGACCTACATATATCAGTCTATAATCCCCTTCTTGAAACACAGGCCTTTCATTTTCCTCAGTTACTAATTATTCTCATTGAAGTACCAAAGCATTTCTTTATTCAGCTACTCCCACTATTGCCTATTGTTTGGAAATTAGTTTTTCATTAGCAAATTTCATAACATAAATCCTCCTCCTTTTTTTATAAATAAAAACCAGTCATGTTTATCTTTTCCAGCTCTGATGCTTTCGAATAACAATAATAAAAAAAAAGCCATAAAACTGTTAATTGTTGGCAAATTTACAGCATGGGCATATAAAAAATATCTGACCACGCATGCAGTGTCGTCTCCATAAAGCCCTCTGAGTGCCAAGGACATTCCAGTAAGGGCATTTTTAGTGGCTCTTCAGAACTTTGTGTTCTGAAGGTGCTGAGGGCCTGGAAAACTTATGCATTTTAGCTCAGGGGATTCTCCATTCAACAGCAAAGAATTCTCAAACCTCTTGAATGCCTTTGGACTCATTCTTATCTCTGCTGGGAAATTATGGCTTCCCACACATACAGACCTCTCAGCTGAAATCCTTCATTGTTCCTCTAAGAGAAGTTATTTCTTAGTTGTATATACTGTTCTTTATTGGACTTTTCCTTGAATTTTCTGCCAAAAACTCTCTCTGAGATGTTTCACAGTAGCTGTCCTTATAATGGGAAATTACTGTACTAGCTGCTTGAAGACATGTGTTGTGGTTTTTTTTAAATTAAAAAAAATGCCCCAAATTCCTCATTTAAAATCAGTCTTTAGGAATGAACAGGATTGATACTAAAACTCCTGATACTAACTTACCTGCAAATCATCTTTTTCTGTCCTTACTAATTTGCTGAAGATAATGCCAAATGCCAGGACAGCTTAGAAAAAACATTGAGGAAATAGGGTTTGGAAAGGACTTGTAACCCAAGCAGGGTGTAGCTAACTTGAAGGGTAACTTGTTTGCTTGGACAAGATGGAAAATGTTAGTGTTTTCTGTATCTACGCAAATTTATTAAAGCCAAGTCCAACCTATTTATTCACTGTCCTGCTTAGTCTTGTATTTTGTCGCTTTAGGCATTTACTAATTATAAAAGAGAAATCAGCAGTTAGAAGCTGTTCTGCTTCCATTTTTACCTAATCACAGTTTAATTACATTTTTTTAAAAAACAAAATACATGGTGCACAGGCAGAGGCACCAGAAGACCAGAAGACCTGGTATTCTGTAATTTACATGAAATTATGAACTTTTATGCTTTTAGCAACAATCTACTGGGGAAAAAAAAAAAAAAGGAAAAAAGCTCCTGATTATTTTAGTGCTAGAGAACAACTGTGGATTTAGCGGGTTGCGCTTTTTTGCCTAGCTAGCTGGCCTCAATGCCAGCACTGCAGACAATGTTGCATACTCACGTCCTGCCATCTGGTCTCATCCTCTTTCAGCTGGTTGTGTACGTTCTGCAGTTTCTCATGGCGAGCTTTGCTATGAGGCTGAGTCACAGCTTCTTCTTCACATCTCATGTCAAACATGCTCATGCTCCTAAGCAAGGGGGAAATAAGAAGAAATGCAGCATTATTCAGAGGCCTGTATTTCCTCAGCTTGTTAGAGCTAAAGCCACATGAGGGTGCTACAGCAGAATCAGACACCTGCACCGTTATGAAGCTCCCAAAGCAGCTGTCCCCTAGAAGGACCAGTTAGCATCCCTATGGCTCCCACACAGTACTTCAGGCATTATACTCCTCAACTTTCTCTTGTTTTTCTTAGTTGACTGCAACTTTGCTTCTCACTAAGAAGCATTACTAACATTACACCTCCATCAATAGCTCTTATTAAAATCACTCTATTCAGAGCAGAGTTCAGAACATTTTACTTTCTGAAGATTTGTTTCCCAGTGAGTTTTCAAGACCCCTCCAATTAACACCACAGACAGAAGTTTCCACTTCAGTGTAAAACAAGAGAGGCTTGAGAAGTATATTAGGGGCAGCATGGCTGGCTAAATGCTATTGCTACAAAACCAGGGAGAGCCTGCCCAGAGAAGTACATGCAGCGCAAAGAGCATGGTACTTCCTCCTCTCCCCTCCCTACCTCAAAGACACTCAATGCTATCAGCACCAACTTATTAATACAGCTAACCTAACAAGGAAAAGCTGACGTTCAGGACAAAACAGTTTCTTTCTACATGTTCTATTTCTGCCCCGGACCTTTGGAGAGTTAAAGGACAAAAAGGTCATGGTTTGATATTATACATTCATTCATATTACGTAAAGATCTTCACATGAAGATAACGTACTTACTACTCCCCCCTACTACCTATTATTAGTAAAACATGACCTCAGTTGTGCCATTAAAAGCAAAAAGCAAAAAAAAGAAAGCCATGCAGTTCCACATGAAGTGATTTCACAGCAGTCTTCAAATGATCATCTGTAGCTTTAGGTGAGCCAACGAGCCAACTAGCAGAAGCAGCACCCAATGAAGATAAAATAGTAGGCGACTGTGTCCACAGTAATCATAGTGAATAGACACAGAAAGCTGTGCATATACATATTTAGCCAACATTTGTATTCAGGCAAGCAAAGATGGGAATGAATCACTCTCAAGGGAAAACTGAAAGGTCTGGACAGTGGATGGAAAAGGACATGCACAGATCCCATCCTGTTTGTGGGTATTTACTCAGAAATGAAGGACAGAATACACATCCTATCGCCTTTAAGCACAAACAGTGAGGTTAGCATATTAACATGCTTCACCCCTTAAAGAGTAATGAGGGATACGCTAATTTGGGTTTCTCTGTGGGTAGTTTAAGGGTTGCATTGCTCAGGATTGGATTGGAGCACTCCTAAACAACCGAACCTAAAGCGATGGCAAGTTTTGTTGTTTTTAAAACTAAAGGCATAGCACCTACTCTGGAACATGTAAATATCAGTCGTGTTTTGCAGACTGGTGAGTTAGGTTGGGAGGTGCTTAACTTGTAATAGAGGCACCCTTAAAGGGTTTATTCCATTTCAAGAGCTTTTGAAACTCACATTAAGGAAAGCGTTTAGTGTTAAGTATTTGTCACCTTGTGCCTACTGTGTCAAACTGGTTGCGTAGCTCCTTTCTTGTACCCCTCCCTCACATCAGAGAATTTTTCATTCACATACAGTAGAAGAAAACAGAAGACCTGAAATGGTGGTAACTGGTTCTAGTAGAATGCACGAGTACTCACCCTCTGCCATTTGGGATGGGAAAATAAAAATACTCTCTACCAAGAGTCCGCTGATGTCCTAATGAAAGGCTCATATTTATTCCCTGCATTTACTCGGGTCTCTCAGGGTGCACAGCGACAGCAAAACCAAACGTTTTATGGCTATTGACAAAGCAATAAAAAAGGTACTCTGGAAAAGGCTTCAGCCTAGGCCAGGAATCAAACTATACACTACAACCCCACATGCACCTTCTACTCTAATTGTCACCTCCTGCTGCTGGGCCTTCATTGCCATGGATAAGCAACCAGGTAGGTTCAAACATCAACTCCGCAGCAACATGTTATTGTGCAAATGTATCTTCCCAAGAGAGCAATCTGAAGATCTTGAAGCACTGCGCTCTGCTCTAACCAACATGTATTAACCACTAAGGAGAACCACCTACTTTCCTGAATACATGGACAAGGCCAACTGAAAGGTCTACATCAACTTCTCTGCCTCACAAGTTCATCCTTAGAAAAGAATCAAAGAGGCCAAAAGTCTGAGCTTCTGCCAAAAGACACTTTCACTATGAGTCCCACATAATTTTGTCCAATTTCTTTCTTACATAAACTACAAATAGCTCCAGCCCATCACTAGCACCTGCATGAACAGAACTAAATTTACTTATTCCTTCAACCATGGCCAGCAGGCACAGAGCATGCAAGTAGATAGGGGAGATGTAACTGTACCGAATTCACGTTCATGAATTTTCTGCCGTTAGCAAAGCTCTGGGGATTGTATCCAAACCCTGTCTGGAAGCAAGAGGCCTTTCTGCTGACCAGTGTACCAGACCTGCTGTTCTAACAAAGATCTGGGAAAAAACACTGTGCAGACCAACAGTGTGCTCTAGATCTTTGGGATGAGTTACACTACTTTATTCTTGCAAATTACAGTTGTTCTTGTCAGTGGTATCATGCAGCAATTTTTTTTTTTTTAAACAGGTCTGAACAAGTGTTGGATTAAAGAAGTCCTCAAGGACTAGAGTGTTCAGACTATTTAATTTGAAAGTGAGAAATAAGGTAAAAAACTTTTTTACGAGAACATGTTAAAAATCCTTATGCAAGGCATTTATTATGTGGCTGCACTACCATTTTTCAGGCATACTAAGATTTAAGAAACCCCAACAAAACATAAAAAGTGACAGGCTGGCTAAAGAATCAGACTACAGTAAACAAATACTCAAAAAAATCTCAGCTCACTATTATTTGCTTGTCAGGCTTAAGTATAAAGCATAAGCCTAAACTCATGCTGGACTGTCACACTACCACCACAATTCAGCCCCATCTCTTCGGGAGATGGGAATGGGGCTGATCAGCCTTTTCTGCACCTTGAGACAGACCAGCCTGATGACAATATCTAGCATTCACTAACCAGCAAAGGGACCTTTGTCAGTCTAATAAAGGAGTTTCTAGTTTTGCTGCTGGAATAAACAGCACCTAGTCTAAGACTGAATTCACGTTACACAGTTTTCAAAGGAGGCTTGACAAACATTTTGGAAGCGTTTTAAATGTCAGTTCAATTTCTTTTTCCTACTCGAGAGCCAAATTTTATTAGATTCTTCATAAGTACTTCAACTTCAGAAGGAAAAACACAATCTTACGTTTATAAGAACTTAAAAGACAGTTTAAGAAAACAGTTGCTCTGAAACTGTGCCACATCTGGAAAGGATGACGACAAGGCTTTAACATTTATTGTTTTGCCTTTTAAAACAAAATCAGAATCAATGTGGAATAAACGATATGATTTATTCATCTCTGCTACTCTCACATTACACAACCAAACGCATTGCAATGCCTCTTTGAAGGCATCTCCATGTACCTTCTCTCATGTTTGCATTTAATACAGACATGCAAAAATGTGGGAAAACAAATGAACAAAGCAATCAGATAGGTAGGCTTTCTGAAATGGCAGGGAAGTCTCCATTGTTAAGTATAACACTCCCGTGTTGTTATGCTCTTTTTATCTCATCTCTTTACTTGATTGAACAGATTTCTGCTGCTTGAAAATGATCACATTTACTCTGTGGTCAGAGGACACAGGCTTTGCTCAGCATAAAGGTATTACAGATCTTGTAAAGAATATTAAGTCCATGATTCTAGCCTTTATCATTAGAGGAAAGGGTGAAAAATTATATACGAGTCTCTGTATATACTTGTTATAAAAAAACCTCCATGCTCTTTCTATTTTGTGATTTAATCTGGGAGACAGAGAAGGTCATGTGCATTTCTGTGAACAGAAGGATATTAAGGACATTATTACGTGGGTAGTTCCCAACTATTTCTTTGCTTCTAAATGCCTGCACTTTGTAAGTATAGCTACTACTTTCACAGAGCTTTCCAAACGACATTGCATACTATTCTGAAATGCAGTTTACATGCATACACACAATTAAAATATGTTTGAGTGCAATAAATGTCACAGTCCTATTCCCTTTTGCCAAAAGTAAAGCATCGAGGTGAAGAGCTTAAAAAAATGAAGTTTAGTACATTATTAAATTAAACCCAACCTAGAAGGGATTCAAGAGAGAGTTTTTAAAAGACAATAAAGGAACAGCTGATGATGTGTTTTCCTGGTAATTATTCTGAAGATCACAATAGATTTTATTTTATTTTGGGATTTCTTTTTTCTTCCTGCATAGGTCATACTTCATTTTTTTCCTCAACACCCAGCCCAGATTCAACCCAACCCTCTTTACCTGTAGCTGATTAGAGGCAATGGAAATTCAGAAGAAAAACCAAAGAAAAGGAAAGGAAAAAAAAGATAAACAATACTTTAAGCAACAGCTGGACATTAGTGTTACGCTCAGTTTTTATGGGCTTTTATATAAAAGTTATTTTTAGCTGCAATGTAAGCCATAGTGCATTCCATTTTTCAGTGCTTTTCTGAAAAATTTATTTGCTGGAACACTGCAAAATAATAATGAGGCATCAACTGCATTTTAAATTAGTAGAAAGACGGGAAAGCATGCAGTGTAAGTTGCTTAAAATAGAATCTTGTGAACACAAGACAACTTACTCTGCGTCATCAGACACAGCAGTTCTGGGGCCGAATCTACAAGACCAAATATAATATTAGAGCGTTGATAAATACATTAAGTAGTAATTGCAACTGGACCCATACAATTTGGGTAACTGTCACTTGACCATCCAACATGTACTAGTAAAGCCGACCAAAAAAGAATCACACTGTTCAGGGATCATGTAGTCAGCAAACAAAACTTACCTAATCATCTGGAGGTCAAACTACGTAAGAACAACCCCCATCCCTCCCTGACCCCATACTAATGCCACCATTACAAAAATCTGCTGAAGTATACCTAAAATGGGTGTAGAAAATAGTTATTGATAATAGACAATATACTAACATTTACATTAAGTGCCACATGCGATGAATGGAGACACAACTTAACAGTTACATTCCACAGCAGTGCTCAGAATCACCATTACTGAAGCACGGAAGAGACAAATATTACAGGCAGAAAGTTAGCCACAGCATTTCCTTTTTGTTGTTGTTGTTGTTGTGGTTTTTTTTTTTTTTTTTTGGGGGGGGGGGGGAGGTGTAGGGGGTGTAGCTGAAAAAAGGTACCGGTAATACACAAGTCAGTATCATTCACTAAAGTGAGTGTCTTGTTTAGAGCCATGCAAACCACATATTTGTATCTGGGATTTATCATAAAAGAACATCAAGTACAAAAGTTGACACTGCAACATTTTCTAATCATGGAAAAGCAAGATACACACCTCTAAAAAAGCAGAGTTCAGTTGAACCTCTGCTATTCATATACCATTTTTGCAATTCAACATGTATACTGTAATCAAATATTTCCTTTCAATTAGCTTTCATTTCAATATTTCAAAATACATTACACAACTACTCTGTTTATAAAAAGTGTATTACTGACATACAGTATTTTAGTCTGGACTGAAAACACACCAGGCAATGCACAATCTGAATTCTGAAGTGTGCACACAGGGGCGTACAAGCTGCGTGATTCACACCATATAGAGCTCACGTTTGCAGATGCTCATCCTTGGACGACAATGTTTCTGTTTTGTTTTCCTCAGGAACCTCCTGAAGCTTAGACGTTTGACCAAGGTGAACTTCATTAGGGCTACCTTCACCCACTTGGGCAGTACAAATAGTCTCATCTTGTCCTGCAGGAGGGAGATTGCATTTTTCCTGCCCTTGCTGCTGTTCCTTTGGTGGTTGTACTACAGGTTTTCCAGAGCTATTAATGCAGACTTGTGGACATTTTTCAGGCCTGAGTGAGCCAAAGGCAGCAGTGCAAAGAGACGTATTAAGCAACAGTTGAAAAATCACATACACATAATGAAAAGCATAACTGTAAGTTAACACCCCCCCAACCCCAAATAGCTGATAGGTAACAAGCTAAGTGAGATGCACAAAACACAATTTTAAAGAGAATTAAATGCTTTTACTTCCATTCCTCTAAGTCAGAAACACAAACTGTCCTGGACACCGCCAAAGATTAAAGTATTAAGTACATATTTTAACTAAGCTATTCAACTTAAGGTCTTCTCAACACTAAACCACTGTTTAATTCTATGACAGGTTTTCTTCTCCTGGCTGAGCTGTACACTAGTTTTTCATCTATGTATGCACAGACGCATGCATATCCTTCTCCTCATGTACTTTGAAGAGGTTGATTAATAAGAACCTTTCCACTCACGCTTGCACGTGGCTTAACCAGCCAATGATAACTCTGTTCAAAGGCTTAAACTGCCAACTTCCCCACATAGCCTCACGCACCTGAACAAAAGTGCTTAGAAAGACACCGAGCATTATCAGGAGGGATCGAGGGATCTCTAAATTTCCTGTTTGGAAGTCACTGGCACCAGCTAAGCCATAGACAAGCATCTAACTTACCATACCCAGCACCTCTATTTCTAGCTAGAAACATTTGTAATGATTAGCTCATATTTAACCAGAAACCTTTGCAAATGTAATACAATCTTGCTATGCATATCCATTTCCACATGCTGTTAGAATTTTGCATCTGGTAGAGCCCTGCTCCAAGTCTTTACAGGGCTCTACGAAAACGGCCAGAAACCCTGCATTGCCTTCTTTTGAGCAGAAAGAGTTGGCACACAGTTGAGGACAAGTACGAAAGAAACAGCTGCTGGGCCAACAGCAACTCTTCCAGATCAAGAGACCTTGACAAACAGCCCACAGGGCCAGTTGCAAGGGGAAGAGAGAAGCACAACTTTCTTACCTTGCAGTTTTCTTCTCAAGTTCTCTAGCTGTGCCCTGTTTATTCTGCTGCTTTGAAAATGGCATGGGAAGGAACTGCTTAACACTGGGCCCAGGCTGTTTTAGGAAAGCTCCAGTTCTTCTGGCCAACATGTCATCTCTTTGTGGGTCTGGAAATTTCACTTTGTTTTCTGTTCCACCGCTCTGCTGCTGAGGGATTTCAAGCTGTTCTTGGCTCTCTTCTCGTGTGACCATACTGCTCAGAGAGACAAGTGACACTGTTCCATGATAATGCTCACTTGTGCAGCCCAAAGGCAAGCGGCTGCTGAGGCAACGTGGGGTACTGTTACTCAAAACACAGTTGCAGAGTGATGGACAGCTAGGCATCTTTAGCTACAGCGCAGGGAGTGAGAGCAAGAGGAAACGATGTTGAATGCCACACTTATGTAGGCGATACGTTAGAAGCTGGGGATTGCATAAAAATATATGCAAGGAAATATTCACTTGGAAGCTGGCATAATAGTCTGGACAAAGCACCATGGATTGCAAAAGAAAATCTCCCCAAAAGATGAAAGACTGTTTTCATGCTGAACAGCAATTAACAACTGAAGTACTTAAATACTATTAAAGAAAACGGACTGTTTTATGTTTATAGCATACATTCTTGTAAGTAATTTCATAAAACAGAACACATGCCATGATGAATGAGTAAAACACATCTTTAAAGGCCGTGTGAAGAATGGAACAACATTGCTGACTGATCCAAGCTAACACCACACACAAACCAGGCACGAGGCTCAGAGGGATCTGTTTCTGTTCTCTGACCTTTCTGCTTCCCGTGGAGTCTTCAAATCCTTCTCACGAGCTACTGCCTCCCCTTGCTGCTGCTGCAGCAGACGAGGAACTACTGACAGGTGAGGACAATGTACGGGAACGGGGCTAGTGGTACGCCTCTGAAAAGTTCCCAACCTTCTAACCAACATATCATCTCTCTCAATGTCTGGTAAATGCCCGACGCAGTCTTCCTCGGTGCTTTCTTGCCGTTTGTTCAAACCGTGCAGGGTTTGTTTCTCAGAGACGATGCCAAAAGCCGGGACAGGTGACAGCATTCTCCTGCAAGAGTCATCTGTACCTGACTTGACTACCTCACTAGCGATGCGACTGAGAGGAGGGGTGAGATAGACAGAACATTCTCAGGTCAAGTGAAAGGTAAGAAGAGGAATCTTCCCATTCAGTTTGCAAATGTTTTATAAACACACAAACTTAGCTGAACTAATTGCTTGCTAAAAGCATTCATTAAAAATTCTTGCTATGGCCACAGACTAAGCAATTAAAGAAAAGCCAAATAAGTGTAAGCTCTGTTAATACGTTAACTTCCCAGAGCTGTAAATTCTCCTCTAAATAAATGCCAGAAACACAGAGCACCAACACACCTTGGCTTCAGCATTACATCTTCAAAAAGAAAGTAAATCCATTAGGTTTGAAGAAAGCATTTTTTGAACATCAGTAAGGCCAGCAAGCTGAAGGACAAATTCCTACTGTGCTGAAAGCAGGCAGAGCAAAGCCGCTGGAATTCAAGAAGCAGAAAAAGCTTGAATGGTAGCTCAGACTCTGAGATACCAGTGATTTCACTGCTCATCAGAAATTCTCAGGCAAGCTCTCAGAAGACCTTTGCACAGCATTGTTTTGCGTAACCCTAAACATGTTAAGAAACTGTGAAGGTGTCAGATGACTTCTGAACAAGGCCGTGCACATAAACAGCTCTTAGGTCTATGCTGCGGTCCACCCCCATGCAGATCAGCATCTGGCAAGAACAGGTCTCATTTCCAGCTCAGCAGCGCTTCTTAAGCCACACCAAATACCTGGACTCATTCTGTGGCTTAGATACTTCATCGCTGTGTTCAGCAAACCCAAGACTGCCAACACTGGTTGAAGGAGAGCTTTCAAGACCAGAGTGACTCTCCACACTGTCTTTCTTGCTTTCCTCTTCTGTTCCACTCTTGGATGAAGCTCTCCCGATAACGAGCTTGTCCCATTTCTGTTGATCAATCTCTGTTACTGGCCCAAAATGCACAAACTTCTGCTTGGGGCTACCAGGTTTTTTGTTTGCTCTGGCTTTGCGGACAGCAAAATAATCGTGGGCTGCTGCTTTCACCGTGGTTTCAGCTGGTGGCAGAGTGTCACTGGGACATTTGAAATCTTCTTCACTAGTATGAATGAGGAATAAAAGAATCCCCCCCAAATGAGACTCCAGAATAAAGCAAATTAAATGCTCCTAGGGTTTTGGAGGGTTTTTATTTTAAAATTCAGGGACACAGGTACAAACAGCTGTGGTATACTGAGGCCCGAATGACAGATAAAATCCGAAGATACTGCAGACCTGCTGGGGAAACTCTGGGAGCACATCCATGCAAGCCCTTCCTTAGAGGAAGAAACGTAGCATATGGCCCATTCCAGGCTCAGTTCTTCACCCTAACAAAGCCATAGTTCTATTATCTGCTCACGTAGACCTGGGCCATGTGTTACATGGGACCGCGCAAGCACCAGCACACCCACCTTGTCATGAGGGAGTTCCAGTGGCATGAGAGCATTAGGAAGGGCAATTCACTTATCCTAAACCAAGGGGACTGAATCTTGATTTTAATAAATCACTTCAAAAGTAATAGAGAGAGTAGTAGTATCTTTGAGACGAGAGAATGATTGAGTTTTGATGGTTTGTATTAGAACTAAAATTACACACAGTAACCACATTGTTAGAAGAATGCCTGAACAGATGGCCAGGTTTAATTGGAAAATGGCATGCATGTAAACAGGAAGGCTAGGAGTTGTTATCCTTTCCT